GTTAGTTTTTCTTGCTGAGATGCCTTACAGGATGCTGTTTCAGAAATAAGGGTCGTCTGTTACTTTTTACTAGTTAGCATTCACTATTGGTGTTGAAGTTGCTTTCTCTTTATCTTGTTGCATAGTGGAACCCAGTGCTGGGAAGCTCGGGCCAGGGAAGGAGTTCCTGGCGAATCCAGGACCAGATGGTGATGCAGGGAGCAGTGTGAGGAGGGGCAGGCAAGGGAGGCTTCTGTAGCTTTCTCTGGACCTCCTGTCATACAGTTGAGAGCGCATGGGACCTCCTCCCTGTCCATCTCATCAGCTATCTGTCTGCTGTCTGTGCTAGGGCTGGCCTGGCTGCATGCTTCTCCCTTTCTAATCTTCCAGAGAAATCTGGTGTTGACCTTCATAGAAAACATAATGCTGACTGAGTTGTGGCTGGAGTTGCCTGCTCTCAGGCAGAGCTCCCAGTCCAACAGCTACTGTGTCTTTTTAGAGAGAAGCCATGTGCCTGCTATCCTCCCATCAGCAACCGCTTTGCAGCTACAGCCTTAACCTTGGACTCTGAGCTTCAGCTACATCTTATAGCCCTTTCTCCTTCTTTTCTCGTATCTTCAAAATTCTTCTCCCAGCATCTACTGCATTAGATTCATAGGGCTGCTATAACAAACTATCACAAACTAGATGATTTATCAGAACAGAAATATATTGTGTCACAGTTCTAGAGGCTGGGAGTTCAAGATCAGGATGTTGGCCATGTTCATGCCTTTTACTCATTGAGGGAGAGTGTGTTCTACTCCTCTTTCCTACTGCTGGTAAGTTCAGGCATTGCGTGGCATGTGGCTTCTGTAGAACTGTGTTGTCACATGGTCACGTATCATATCTTCAGTTCCTCGGTTTCTTTTCTTCTCCTGTAGGGCACCACTCAGATATGACCTCTGATAAGACTTTATATTAACCGATAACATTTTCTAAGATTCTTATTTACACAATAAATAGATTTACTTATACAATTCAATTCATAGCACCCACTCAACTAAGAGACCTACCAACTTTCATATTTGAGATCTAGAGGGGGACAGTATGATTATTCTTCTCTGCTTTAATTAATGGAACACATTTGCTTTTGAACCAGAACTTTCTGTAAGAAAAGAAAACAGTGAATTATTGCTCAAGTTGTACCTACTTCTGTCTCCATTGTTGTTTGTTTTCCTTTTCCATTTCTTTTTTTAGCAGTTTCATTGGCATATAATTCACATATCCTACAATTCAATAGTTTAATCATATTAAGGTTTGTTTAAACTATGAATCTTGCCAGTTACCTCTTAGATGTCCCTACTCAAAATTTAGAAAAAAGAAATATGCTGTTCTAGTTGTCCTCAATATTTCCTATAAACACAGTTACAATGCCATTATACTGTTTGGAAAACAATATATGTGTGTATACTCATACACATATGAGTATACATACATATATCTATCTCATGACAATTGTGATAAAAAGATTTCTGTAAATACATTAACTTTAGCAAGAGGACATAATTGTGTATTATTAGGATTTATATTTGTTTATATACATACCATAAATGTCCATAAGAGATATTATAATCAGTACTTAAATATGCAAAAAAAATATGTTATGTTTAGCATGTCCATGCATTCCAGTTTGCTTGGGATCTCAGTTGAAGCTTATTGTCCTGATGTGTAATAATTCATTCTCAAAAGTGCTCTGGTTTAGGTGTAAATTGTATAGTTTCCCTTTTACAGGCAATATGTATAATATGATTATTTCCACTCTCCTTATAGAAATACAAAAATTATGTTTTTGATATTTATTAAATAGAGTGTGGACCCAAGACAACTTCCCCAAGACCCAGTTGGCCATCCCATCATGCATTTGTCTGGTATTAAACATGCTACAGGTGAAGCCATCTACTGTGATGACATGCCTGCGGTGGACCAGGAACTGTTCTTGACTTTCGTAACCAGTTCAAGAGCTCATGCTAAGATTATGTAAGTGTGTTAGTCCGAGTAGACAATATACCCAGACTATATACTAGCTTTATATACAAGAGCAATTGAATATTGAGAAAACATCCCAGCCCAATCTAGATCAAGTCCATACGTCCAATATTAGCTCATATGTCCAATTCTAATCCATAAATTCCTCTTTAGATTCACGCAGCCATGCAATAATGCTGAATGCAGGAAGATCACAGGCCAGTGGGTGGAAAGTCTTGTGGATCCAGTGGTGGTACAAGCATCTCAGCACTGGCCTGGATCTCCAAGTGGCTCCTCCAGCTCCCAGGGCTCTGGCTGCATTAGTGTAGCTCCATCAGGCTCGTGGTCAGTAATGTCTCACAGGGACTGAGCATATTCCCACCTCCAGGGAGCTATTTATCTGTTTAGCACCTACAAATGAGGTCATCAAGCTGTAACCTGATTGACAGGCTAACCTCCACCCCTTCACTCTTAGGTCTCAAAGTGACAATAGATTATATAACTACCACAGTAACTGATGACATTCTTACCCAACACAAGTGAATGATTGCTTTAATCATTTAACTCCCAGTTACACTATTGACAACAGGCACCTATCTCTTGTTTTCCCTCTACTAAAAAATAATGTTTTGTAGGCAAGCTGTTTGTTGGAGATGTCCAACGCAGGCTAGAAGTGAAAAGGTAGTGACATGTAAGAGCTATTCCAGGGTGAACCTCCGTATGATAACTTCACCATCCCAGAGATCTATCGGAGCACTGCCTTGACATATCTCCCCTCTCTCATGTCTCATACTCTAAATGTGTCAGTGTCAGTGGTCATTGGGTGGGGTGGCTGCTTGGAGGCACCCAACTCTTTGTGTCCTTACCTAGGTGCATGGACCTCTCAGCAGCACTCAGCATGCCAGGTGTGGTGGACATCGTGACCGCAGAAGACCTTCATGGTGTAAACTCCTTTTGTTTCTGGACTGAAGCTGAGAAACTCCTGGCCAGAGATGAAGTACTTCATTTTTGTTTGTTTGCTTTAAAACCATTGCCTTGGTTAATGATGCTTCAATTTTTTTTTAAAGATAGCATTTAGCATTGACAGACACATCATAAAACATTCCAAGATTCTTTCCATGATGCTATATTCTAATATTGAACAAAGTCAAATATATTCATTTTCAGCACACATGAAGAAGTTGACTATATTAAAAATAACTTTGGTGTCTCATATTTCTGCATAGTAAGAGAGTACAATCCTAACAAGTACGAAAGATGCAGGAAGAGAGAATACGGGTAACCTTGATTGGCTGATCCCTCCCAGAAAATCTCTTCCCATCACCCTGGTTTCAGTGTATCCAAAGTCCAAGCCTAAGTTTAAGTCATATCTTCATCTTGAAGTTTTCCTTCATCCAGAAGGCCTCTTTGCTGCATTTGTGCTCACTTAGATGTATCCATTCATCATGCTACTCATTCAACAGGCTTTTCAGAAAAGGAGTGCCTGACGGGGCAGGTCATTGTATGTGGATGTGGTCACTGCCCTCATGGAGCTTCGAGTTTAGAAGAGAAGACAAAGTAGACAATTACTGTACTTTCTGCCTTGTATCAAGCTTATTTTTTCTGTATCTCATACATCCCCCTCCTTTGTAAAATGTCTTGAGTCCGTGTCTGACTTCTCAGGAGCCTGCTTCCCACAACACAGGATAAATGAGTAGAGGAACAGATGCTAGCATGTTTTGCCAGATAAATGTGTAAAATCATTAAAACTTTGCTTACTGTTTCTTAAGTTATCAGAAAATTCAACATGGGCAGTATAGTATTCAAGAGGTTTCCTGAGTAACTCAGGTTTCTCAGTTGAGTGTTTTGTCTCTATGAATTACCTGTCCTGAATTTCACATAAAGAAAAACATACACAAAGATCCCAACAACAAAATAACACACAGAACAACTCAATCCAGAAGAAAACAGAAATTAATACAAAGTAGGACAAGTTAAAAGTGGGTCAGAAGGGGAAAGAAATGGTAAGATGTTAAAATTTAACTCTATCTGCATCTCTGGTGGTGGTGGTTGGTGTGAGGGGGCGTTTAATGTGTTGGGCTGCTAACTACAATGCCAGCAGTTCTAAACCACCAGATGCTCCAAGGGAGAAAGACAAGGTTTTCTACTCCCACAAAGAATTCGAGTCTCAGAAAGCCCCAGGAGGCAGTCTGGCCTATCCGATAGGGCCACTATGACTCCATGGGGGCAGGTGGGCGAGGAGGTGGTGGCAAGTGGTTATATCTGCAGTAATCAACTTTCCAATGCACTGAGGACAAGACTAATCACATCTGTGGTCAATTAACTGAGGGAATGGAGGCTTAACACATGTAGGGGCTCAATACAAATGTTTTCCTCCTGATTATAAAACTACCATCAGCTCATGTTGAATAGTTTGAAGCAAACGTTTGGACATAACTTGTTACATCTGGTTACATTGTGATCATGGCGAAGGGAGGGGAGACAAACAGTGGCGGTGCTGTCTTCTTGGCTCGGCCTCTCTCAACCCTGGTTTAGGGGCAGCTGCAGTTAAAGGGTAGAAGTCTCACCTTCCATGGGACAAGACTGGATTTGTTAGCCAGTCAACGTCCATCTCATGCACAGCTGCCACCTGTCTGGCAGTAGAGGTGTGTAGGTTGCTAGGATGCAAAACAGGTTTCAATGGAACTTCCAGATCAAGACAGACTAGAAAGAAAGGCCAGTCAATTGACTTCCAAAAGGCAGTCAGTGAAAACCTTATGGAGCACGACTGTCTGAGTTATGACTCACCCTGAGCACAGTACAGGGGCAGGGGACCTTCCATTCCTTTGTACGTCGGGCCACTGAGTCAGCCGCCAATGCATCTCATCCCTTAAAACCCCATTTCCCTCTAGCATTCTGCCCTGGTCCCTGGTGAATTCCTTGGGCAGCTGCGGCACCTGCAGGTGCAGTGATGCTGGCTGCCCGCCCTTCTCCTCTGGGAAAGGATGCTCTGTGCATGCGCATTACTGGTTCCTGCTGTGTGTCTTCACAAAACCCATGCTCTGCCCTCTGTTGTCGTGAGACACACTCCAATTTATGGCCGATCACGAGCATAGTGCAGGAGTAGAGGACCTTTGATTTCTTTGTGTCTAGGGTAAGGTGAACAGATTTTAACATCGGTAAATCGGGACCAAAGGGGGACACCATTGATAAAACTCATATCCTGGCGAAATAGCCACATGGCAGCCGAAAACCATATACCCTAGCTTGTCGTGCATCATTTCCAAAAATCGGGACTTTTTTAAAACCCCGTGGGACACGGGAAAAATTGTTAAAAATCTGGACTGTCCCACCAAAAGTGGGACGTCTGGTCACCTTAGTCTAGGGTCACTCCGAGCTGGCGGTCACCTCAACAGCCGCTCATTAGCAGTATGTGCTAGCATGCAAGAACTCCCTTTCCAAAGACACGCCTGCTCTTCCTCCCTCCGCTGCAGATCAGATGGGCTGTGACCTCCCGATCCTCCTCTCCACAGAGAACACTGACTCTCTTACAATGGTGTGGTCATGTGACGGGCTGTCCTAGAGCAGCTGGCCCTTCAGCAGCCCTGCTAACTTGGCCTGCAGGCTGAGCCTGCTGCCTCGAGACAGCACCATCACTGGCAATAGTAAAGCTCCAATAGCTGCATCTCCTGCAGGGCCTGCAGTCAGCCTGCCACCTCTGACAAATGCCTGAGCCCGACCAAAGCCTGTATTGCTTAGGCTCTGAGACATGCAGACAGGCAGGAATGTGGGTCATCTGCCGTGCGTGCAGCTCTGTGCTGGGAGGGAGGAAGAAGCGGAATCTGAGAAGAGGACCTACTGTGTGCCTGCCTGCCTTCTGTGTTGCAGGTACTTTGTGTGGGTCAGCTGGTCTGCGCTGTGATCGCCGAATCCAAGGTCCACGCACAGCAAGCCGCTAAGCGAGTGAAGATTGTTTACCAAGATTTGGAGCCACTGATCCTAACCATCGAGGTAACCAGGTCTATGGTGGTGCTAATTCAGGGGCAAGAGGAGCAAATAGAAGCAGAGTTATCAGCTCACCCTTTAAAGACCAAGTGATTCTCTGCTTTGAATATTTTGTTGAAATCACATATTTTCCGTAATGGAGGGCATTTCGAGTGACATGGAAAGCAAGTTTTTCTTTGAGATAATGTGGTTGTTGATCAAATCAGTGAGACACATATGTTTTGAGAAGTCACAGTTGCTGAGGTTGGTGGGATGAGCCCATTTCTTCAGATTCACATAGTTAGGTGCAACCCCATCAGACTGAAGCACAAACTAAACGCTCAGCTTCGCACAGAACCCCAAAGGTGAAAACATATAGATTGCATTAGATATCCCATGGGTCATGAAAGAGTTGAAATACTTGACTACAGAAACATGAACATCCGGTTCAACCTGGCTTCTGAATGATTGGCCTCCCTGGTGGTACAGTGGGTTGTGTGCTGGGCTGCTAACAGCAAGGTCAGCAGTTTTAAAAAGCCATGGGAGAAAGATGGCGCTTTCTACTTCCATAAAGGATCACAGTCTTGGAAACCCAAGGGCACTTCTACCCTGTCCCTTGGAGTCACTATGGGTCTGAATCAACTTGACGGCCGTGAGTTTTATTGGCCTCAACCTATGTGAGCATGAGTCATGGCACCAAAGACCTGGTTGCCCTTAGCCTGGCTTCTTTGCTGCCTACAATTGAAGCTTTATTCTCAATTGGTTTCCTGGGGTCGCAGATGGCAGGCAGTCATCCGTTATATGTGTCTAATGGGGCAGGAGAGCACACTGCTGTTCCAACATTCAAGCTCTAAACCTTGGTAGACAATTTTCAGCCTAATCCAGGCCACTCACATGTCTACTTGCGAATGACTGGCTGTCCAGAGTAATGGAGGGGGTGTTGGTTATTGCTGAAGGGTCAAATGTCTCGGTGCTGGGGAGTGGTCAGGACCTAAGCAGAAACCTGGCATCGTTTGGAAGGCAAAGGTAGACGGGTGCTTGATGTGCAATCTACAATGTCCAGGACAGGTGGACACATGCTGTCAGTCTCTGTGCTGATCTGCTTCCTACTCCCAGAATCTCTCAGGTACACAAGGATACAAATGATACTCTCTATGAAGTCACTATTGGAGATAAGATTTTTATAGTCTTTAATGCAGAACTTAAATGAATAGGAGAGATAGACCACATAGAGGTCGCTTGTTGACTTAAACCAATTGAGAAATGCATTTTCCATTCTATTTTCTAGAGAGAAGTCAGGAACATACAAAGATTATCAGTCATCATCAAGTTAGTGTAGCATGATGTCATTTTGCATGAATTTCTTCGGTTCTTGTAATGTACCGTAGAAAGTCTCAGTGAATGTTGGGAAAGCAGCATGAATTGACAAGATTCCAGTTTTGCTGAGCACTCTGTTTTGGGACTTAAATGGACATGTGTTTGCTCCTTGCCGGGGTGAGCGTGGGGTTCTGTCTGGCGTCTTGGTCTGGTGTTGGGTTGGAAGAGCATGGGATTCCAGGGTGGCAAGGGAAATGCTGCCTCAGCTCAGGGGTCTCTTGTCACTATTACCTTGCTTTCTGGTTTTCTCTCTAGGAAGCTATACAACACAACTCCTTCTTTGAATCAGAAAGAAAATTGGAATGCGGAAATGTGGATGAAGCATTTAAAATGGTTGACCAAATTCTCGAAGGTAAAGTTATCTGAGGTGAGACTGGGACAGGCAACAACCTTGTAAGCCTTGTAAGCATGTCAAGTTTAATGTTACTTAAGCATGTCTATCTTAATGCTACCTTTGTATTTGAGAAATCATCTAGCAGCCTGGGGACGGGAGGGTATTGCTCTTTAGAGACAAGCATCTCTCATTCACAAAAGCTTTATCCAGAGAGGCAGAGTGGAAGGATGAGGATGTGCCTTGCCCATAGCAACCTCAGACACTGGCTACCTGTCTGGTCTAGACGGCGGTTGCCTGGTTGTTATAGATGTAGTCTTCTATATATCACACACACACAACACACACAACACACACACACACACACACACAACACACACACACCTGTATTTCCTACTCTACACAACCCTGTATCCCTGCAGGGGGAAGTGTTATTATCTCACTCTGAAATTGAGGCCCAGGTGTTTAAGGAGCATGTTTGAGATCATTCGCAGCTGCTGGATGACTATGTTGAATGCCAAATCGACGGCCTTTGAGGATTCTAAAGCCTGTCTTTCCTCTTTTGAGTCCTTTCTCTATTCCCACCCCTTCCTCCTTCTCTCCTTTCCTTCTTCCAGGTGTTTTTCCTTCATTAATTAAAATTAAATTACCTCTTAGAAAATAGTTGATTCTAGGGTTCCAGTACAACTCTTAAAACTTTTAATTTGGAACTCGTTTTAAACTTGAAAAAAAAACCCCAAAAACAGTTGCAGAAACAGAACAAAACAAAAAATTCCTGTAATTCCCTTCACCCAGATTCCCCAATTGTGAACATTTTTATACTTGCTTTATTAATCTTTTCCCCTGGCCCATTTGAGAGTAACTTGTAGACTAAATGCTTCTTTACCTAGATATGGCCATGTTTATTTCCCAAGAGCAAGAATATTCTCTCACATGAACATATACTTACTAAAATCAGACCATTAACATTGACATGCTGTTACCTAGTCTACAGATTTTTTTCAAGTTTTGCCAACTGTCTCAATAATATACTTTATAGCAAAAAGATAGTCTTTATCCTGCTCAGAATCCAGTCCAGGATCACACATCCTGCCTTTGTCTTCATGACCTTGCCTTCGGAAAAGTACAGCCCACTGGTTTGGTCAAAGGCCCTGTAATTTGAGCTTGTTTGACATTTTCTCATTCTTCAACTCAAACTCTTTTTGAACAGAACTAGGAAACACCCAGTGCCTATGTTTCTATATCTGTCTACCTATTTATTAATATAAACTAATAATATAAAATTTTTAGAATTAAAAAATATTTAATTCACCTACAGTAAAATTCACCCCTTTTAACTTGCACTTCTATCAGTGCTGACAGATTCAGCGAGTTGGATAATGTGTTAGTTATCAAGTGCTGCTATAACGAAAATCCACAAGTAAGTGACTTTAGCAAAAAGAAATGTACTCTCTCACAGGAAGCTAGAAATCGGAATTCAGGGCCCGGATCTAGGGGAAGGCTTCCTCTCTCTGAGGGCTTGGGGGCCTGGGGGGGGGGTGTCAGGAAAGTGCTTGTCTCTGCCATTTCTGCTCCTTGGAGAGCATGGTGATCTTCATGGGACCTGGCATCCGAATTTCCCCATCTGTGCTCTTTTCATCTGCTCTTTTGTATTTCAACAGAGATTGATTCAAGACACGCCCTATGCTGCTACTGTCACATTAACATGACAAAGCTGATTCTCAAAGGGGATTCGAACCACAAGCCTTGGGGTTAGGGTTGACAACTCCCATTGATCCATGGGCAAAGGGAGCACAAATCCATGGCAGATGAACGCCCTCTCAGTCAGAATGCAGTTAAATTAATGTCCACGTATATAAGCAAACCTTAACCCCCGCTTCCCCCATGGTTTTCTCCTGTCATAGATGTCATCGGTGCTGTGGAAACTGTCCTGTCATGCCTGCCACGCAAGGTCTTATAGACATGTGCTGGTGAGGACGGAGATGCCTGGGACAACCCTCTCCAGACTCAGAGTGGGGTCTGGGATTGTCTGCATAGTAGAAACTACCACCCCTTGCCCTAACCTTTTGCTCCCATCCTGCTGCCAAGCACAGGAAGATCTGTAGACACAGCACCCCCGAACACGCACACACAGAGCCCATTTGTGCAATATGTAACCAGTCACTCCAACTACCAGAGCTTCAAGCTCATCATGTATCTTAGCACCATGTGTGTGTTAAAACTGAAACTGATCACGGCCAACTGGATGTTATCTGGAAACTGTGTGAAAGACATCTTGTACTTTCAACCGCCAGCACGTGTTGGTATCATGCCTTATTGGTTGTGTGACTTTGGCATGGCACTTCTCAGTGCTCAGTTTCCATGCGTTAAAATGATCGGGATCAAATAATGTCGATCTCAAAGTTCTATCATGAAGATAATATGGGGAGGGCTTCAAAAAGTTCATGGAAAAATGGAGTTACAAAATAATGGCTTGAGTATATAACCCTTCCTTTACCTTTCTGTATGATCCTTTTTCTCTCTCCAGCTTTAATGTAGTTTTCTCAGATACTGCTCACAAACTATTCAAAGCCGCCCCCCACCCCCACCCCCACCCCCACACATACGTGTCTACCCGAGAGCCTGGTAGAGAGCACGCAGTAAGTGACCAAATTGCTAGGTGCAACCATCAGCCTACAGTTAACAGGATAACAGCTGGCGAGGTGGGCGCGGCATTTTCCCGCTGACTGCTTCTGGGTCTCAGGTGTATTTTTCTTTGACAGGTGAGGTACATATGGGAGGTCAAGAACATTTCTATATGGAAACTCAAAGCATGCTTGTGGTTCCCAAAGGAGAGGACCAAGAAGTGGATGTTTATGTCTCCACACAGTTTCCCAAATACGTACAGGTAATGTGGAGTGTGACTAAAATAAGGCCCTGTGACATTAAAATCAATTGTGGTGTCAGTGGACCTGCATGGCTTTTGCTCTGCTCTTAAAAAGCAGAGAAGCCTGCCCTCTAAAACCTACAGTGACTCGTGCACATGAAGCAGCTAGGAGACAGTAAGAGACAGGATGCAACTTGGGGGAGAATCTACAAAGTCCAGGTCTACATGGGTGTAAAAATAAGAGAAAGTAGATTTTCTGAGGGCTAGAATCACCCAGGAAGGCCTATGAAGAAGTCAGGGGTTTGGATTTATCGTGAGAGTAAGACCATTTTCAGGCAAAATCAAGCACCATTCATTTCATCCACTCTGCAACTCTAATTCATTTCATCCACTCTGTAACTCGGACGTATGTGCGCCTGGAAGAGTGGGTGCCATGGCTTGTATACTAAGCAACATGCATTTCAAAAAACAGCAACAACAGTAAGATTGCCCGGGTGGGAATGAGGATGCTTGGAGGGGAGGCTAGGTATGAGCATCAGAGTGAATATTGGGGAGACAGGGTAGAAAAGGGCGCTGGATTCAGTGGGTCATAAGCGCTAGCGTACTGACTGAACAATGTGGGTGTGAGGGTGGGAATGGGGCCGTTTAGGAGGTGGAACATGAGGGGGAACTGAGGGAACATCATTCCAGTCCTGTTCTGCTCCTTGCTCGCTGTGTGACCGTGGGTCCATCACGTCATCTTTCTGGAGCTCCTCATCTGGAACAGTGTGTTCGATCAAATGATCTCTAAACCTCAGGCTGACAAAGAAGAGAAAGGCTATCTTCAGGGAAGACCACCTGGTCACCTTGAACAGAAATCAAGCAGGAAATGAGAATCACTCATTCTCGGGGGACCCAGTAGAAAACAGGGGGAAGGGCCAGTCTGGGAGAGGTATGGGAGGTCACGAGATCTCACAGCGTCAAGAACGAGATCCCTAGGGTCTAGTGTGCCCTGGTCATGACGATGGTTCAGTCCTGGGCTACTAACTGAACAGCTGGTGGCTATAAGCCACCCAAAGATTCCATGGGCAGAAGACCCAACAATCTGCTCCACTAAAGACTGGAGCCCCAAACCCTTGTTGGGACAGTTCTGTGTTGTCTCTGGCTCAGCAGATCACCATGAGATCACCATCAGATCAATGAAAGCTACTCATCAGCCCACAGCCATCCCTACAACAGCAGGAAGGGTTTGGGTGGGATTTATGGGGAAAATAAAACTATTAGCACAAGCATATCTTGTTGGTATTGAAACGTTGGGGGATTTTGCACCATCAAGTTGACTCTGTCTTCCAGAACCCTACAGGAGAGTAGAACTACCCCATAGAGTGCTCAAGGCTGTCATTGTGCGAGCGGATCATTTGATCTTTGGTCTTACGTGGTGGATTCAATATTTTGGTTTGTTCGGGGTGGAGAACCTACTTCTACCAAGGGCCGGTCAGACATTTTGCAACATCACTTATGGGTCAGGCATTGAATTGACTCCTGCTAAGGTGACTGGAATGGCTTCTCTTCAGTGGGGTGTGTGATGCGAACTGGGATTGATGGTTTCAAGGGTCCACATCCTGGACTAGCAGCCAAGCCCATAACCATTATGGTACCAGGATGCCTTACAGTCATCGAAAAGTCTGCTTAATATTGACAGTCGTTTGCGTGATGTCATTGTAACCAAATACTGCTGAGATCGGCATGTAGAGGTTTCTGGAAATGTGTCATCTACAACAGGGGCTGCCCACCGTGGCGCTTGAGCCCCATGTGGCTCTTTCGGTCCATACCTGTGGCTCTGAAGTAAAATTGAAAATGAAAATAAAATTATGCCAGTTTCATTTAAAGGATGTTACTCAGATCATGGTGATTTCATTTGTTTGTGAGAGTATACTTATAGCTCTCGAATCATCTTTAAATCACTGGAGGACAGGATTGTCTCCTCTTCCTCGAAAGTGTGCCAAGCCCTGGCCCACAGCATTAAAGATTCAAACAGGGCTGTGCTAGCGCACTTCCTTATCAGGAGATGTTTTGTTGTTGTTGTCAAGGACCATGGTTCTCTAAATTAAGTCCTTGCTGAAGATGGATCAGATTAATGAGAACTCTTCACATTCACAGGCTATAGTTGCCTCAACCCTGAAGGTCCCAGCTCACAAGGTCATGTGCCATGTGCGGCGTGTTGGCGGGGCGTTTGGGGGGAAGGTAATGAAAACCGGCATCTTGGCAGCCATCACCGCCTTTGCCGCCAACAAGTAAGTGGAGCAAACCTATTAAGCAGGCTCAAAAGAAAGGCAGGCCACGGAAAAATTCTCAACATCAGGACCAATGAGGATGCGTGTGGGCCAAGATTAGCTGAAATCAAATACAATGGATCAATGTACAAGGAAGCTACTAGCTTATTATAGTATCTTTCTCTTATGTCATCCAACTACATACGATAAGAACCCAAATGAGAATGGATTGCTAGAAAGAACAACAGGCACAAGAAAAACATAGGATCTCCCTGAAGCGCAGGCACATCGCAGGGCATTTGCTCATGGGAAGGAGGCTCTTGGGTGCCCTGACTCCAACAGAGGGGAAACCCCAGTGTCTGCCTGAGATCAGCACAGCCGGTGGGGGGGTGGGAAGGTGGGAGGCGGAGGGGGGGCGCGGGGCTCCGTTTGGTGATGTGCAGACTCTCCTTGAGCTCAGTGGAAGTTAGCTAAATCCCGGAGACTCCCAGCAGACTTGGTGAAAGAGGTGACTTCTCTTGCCCCCCGCCCCCCGTTTTAGACTCGGTCGTGCAGTCCGCTGCGTTCTGGAACGAGGAGAGGACATGTTAATAACTGGAGGTCGCCACCCTTACCTTGGAAAGTACAGAGTGAGTAAGAGAAGAAGCGGGGAAATGGTGGACGTGGAAAACAGAACGTGCCATAAATGCAGGACAGCTTGAAGCAAAAAGTTTGGGTGACCCTCACGTCTTGAATCAAAGTGATCAGATCAGCACAGTGCTGCTGCTCCACTTCGTCTCCGTCCGCGTGCGGCGTCCTCACTGACGAGCTCCCTGAAGTGGTTGTGCTTCGCTTCAAGATGTCAGCTGTGGAACAGCGCTAACCGGTGTGAGCTGCTAGGGCATGAAGCACTGGAGACTTTGTATGTGTGTGTTCATGAA